AACAAATCTTATATGTTAGACTCCTAAAGTAGTAGTAATAACAATAATAGTAATAACAGTAATAATAATAATACTTATTTGTTCACAATATTTCTCGAAAGTAGTGAATTCAAAGTAAACTATAAGTGAATAAATATTCCAACCTTACGAAGTTGATGTATTTGTTGTAAGGATTTGATAATTATTAACGAATTCATGGAGTGAAATGACTCATCTAACATGAGTTAAATGAGTTATTAGATTCATTGAATGCATACGTGATTGTACTTTCATTATACTAATTGTTTTCAATAACTCAAAAGTTATAACATCATGACAACCAGTGATTTGTTTGTTCTCAAACAGAAAATAATATTCATGATTCTAATCCAATTAGTTTTTTCGATGAAAAAACAATACATAATATTTGTAATTTTATTGATTTCTGAAGTTTTTTGAATTAATCGACATTCAATTCTGTTAAAGTTTTATCTGCATGAAGGAGTCGACAGGTTGTTTTCCATCATCAATTAGTAGTTGTTTGTTGTGGTGTTCATCAAAAATATTTTTTGATAGATTTCCACTTATTTTAAGACAACATTTTTTATATGTACCTTATTTATAAAAGTTATCTATTTCTTTATAATATATATGTGAAGTTGTTCTCATATATTTCATACCTACTTTATAAAAAAAATAATATTATTACTCGTACCGCTTATAATGACATTTTAATCGGTAAAAGTAGAGAGAAATTTTTCAAGAATAGATTTGAATATTTTGGTAGAATTAGCTAAAGGTTTATATATCGTAATTACATTAAATTATTTGGACACATAAATATTTTCACATGAATAACTTTCAATTCATAATTAAAATAATAAGTTTTAATAACTAACATGCATTTCTTGTGATTACTAAATTTATTATTCTCATTATTATCAATTTTCCAATACTTAAATATATATTGAGAAAAAAAATGTAATTCACATATAACAATTCCATTGTTTAGGTCATTATTTCTCTCATAATATACAACTTATTTAATTTTTTGAAATAGATTTGTATTAGGGATTTTACAAGTTTTCGAAGAAAGGATCAAATCAAAACTGAATAACACACAAATTATATTCATCAAAATTCTTAGATATATTTAGAATTTTTTTGCCTTTCTACTTCTCCATCTTTATACAAAAAATTCGAAAAACTTCTGTAGGAAGAAAGAAAGCAATCTAGTTCAAAATTAACTCTTTACAAATAAGTGTAGAACCTACTCTCATATACAAACTGAAATAAAAACCCCCTCGAAACAATTGGGTACTTTGACATTTATATTCAATTACTCAGTGTGTATCTAAAAGTAACTGCAATGGAGATGAATGGAAAAGTAGAAAGCCACCAAAACTTTTTCCCAAAAACTAATCTCTCCAAAAAAATATATCCCTATCAATTTGAACTTATTTGTTATTCAAAATGATAAATTCATTCGAATTCTTGAAACATACCTATAAATATTTCTCAATACTAGTAACTACCTGGGTTTTAATTACATTTTTTTCCAATATAGGGATCCATAATTTTTTTTTTACAAAAATCAATCGTATAAAATGATCTGGAATATCTGATTCCTCACTGATGATTATTGCTTTTTCTAAACCTGATTTTTAAACCAAAACTTTACCATTCTGCCACCATACATATTTGAAAATGAGCATAATAGCTACCGCTTTCCCAAGATAATATTTGATTCTGGTTGTTTCTTCTTCAAAATACATAACTGGATAAATCAATGGATTCTGTAGTTTTCTTCTCCTTCTATACTGTTCCTTAACTCTTTCTCATCATTATTGTTGATACTTTTTTATACATTTCCTTCAATTCTATTTTCTAATTTTCATTTTCTGCTTTTACTTCTTCCCTTACTTTCATTATATATTTCAGTTATTCTAAAATTTCATTTCTCGTTCTCATCTCCTCATATTTATTGTAAATGAATTCCATCCATTGTTTACTNGAACTATTCACAATAATTATATTCATTTGCAGCTCTACTGTGGAAAATATGTTACAAAAGATTTTATAGTAACAGGTGGAACAGATCCTAATCTTTTTCGTCTAGTGGATCTTCAGACTACTGCTGTAAGTTTTTTTTATTTATTAAAGGAAATCCTCCAATTTATAAAAATTTCAAAATTTCTATATGATATACTTTATAATAAAATAATGTCAATAATACGGAATTGAAATTAAGATATTCAGTAAGTATGTGACTAATTGTTATACTTAACTTTGAATATATTTTGAAACACAAACTGTGAACTTCCTCTCCTCTCCTCTCATTTTATGAAAGCTATCTCAAATTTTATTGCTCATTTTGTTCACAGAAAACAATTGGTACCTAGAGGTACAGTCAAATGAACCGTAGTTACGTTTTGTACTTCTTGACGTTCTGCCCAAAGTTCCCAATTATTGTGTACTCAAGAGAAAATACATTTCATTTTGAATAATTTCATTACGGTATTTTTTTGAACTCAACATTCCGAACACCAAAGCTTGTACATGTAAAAAATATATTTATACTTTATATTTTTTCACTTTAATTTCATTTAGCTTTGAATCACTTTTTATCTGTTCTGTTAAAAATATGTTTTCCGTTAACCAGCTGTCGCCCTCCTACGAAAAACAACTCTCAAAAGTCGAAACTAGTGCGAGCTAAGGACTAACGAGGTCTTACCTTTCAATGTGTGATTCCTAAGACGGGTTGGATGATAGGAAGTGAAAATCAATCTTCCGACCTTGCGGTTGGAACCACCGATTCACCCACGTTAATTTTTATAAGAATTTAACAGCTATTCTAAAATGTGCTTTGTAAAAACAGTATTCAATTTAATTGTATTTATGGCTCAGTATTTTGCATATAGAGGCTACCACATAAGAGGTAGATATATGCTAGCACGAACTTTCCTCCAGAACTATTCAAGATAAACAATCTTCCGGTACACTATCTACATGTACTCCAACGGTATAGCCAGCGCACGCCCAGATAACTCTCAGGGAACAAGAATTTTTCCGACTCAATACTTATCGTTATATTATGACCAAAATTACACAAAACCTTTGTAAATTGTAGCCTATATGTTATTCTGATGAATAAGCTGTATTTATGTTTCATCTAAATCCGTTCAGTCGTTTAGGTGTGAAAGAGCCACAAACATACATACATACATTTGTCCATCCTCACAAACTTTCACATTTATAATTTTAGTATAGATATAGGTATTTAAACTTGTTCTCATCTTGTTTGCGACAGTTGATTTTATGTAATAGATAACACAGGCCAACAAAAAAAAATGTTTTTGAAAACTTTGTTTACTTTAAAAGCTGATTTTTATAGATTTTTGTGTGCTGAATCCAAATCTGGCCATAGTTTTTGAGAAATTGATTTTTTTCATATAATTTAAAATCTGTCGGTATATGGTAAAATTAATGAAACACTATGTTAAATCACTATCATGGTTTTTATTTACAGTAGGTAACTTGAAATAATGATACAGTGTAATGTAGGTTTCACTAGTCAGATGGAATTGGTTTATATTTCCTTTCTCTTTTTTCTTTGAAGTTTCTTGTGTAGCTTTTCCTGCGATGAGCCGCTTTTTGAGCTTCACGGTGAAGTGACCAACAGTAGTCTCCCATCGTGTTGATGTTCCAGCGGCCCTTGTAACGTTTTTCCATCAATTAATTATTTTGGTGAAAACGTTCACCCTGCTCCTCACTAACATCTCCCAAATTTTCCGGGAAGTAAACAAGATGACTGTTCAAGAAGTGGCTCATCAAACAACCTAGTTTCTTAAAATTCTTTAACATATCAGCTACAATGGTACGATATTCTGGGTCTTTTGCATTTCCTAAGAATTTTGTAACAACTTGCTTGAATAATACCCATGCTTCTTTCTCTTGTATGGACATTGTGGTTTCAAAGTTTACGTCGAACATCATTTTTCGAATGTCGCCTTCTTTAAGTTTATCATCTGAAAGGTTGGAAATTTCTGAGAGAGATACTTGAAACAAGGTCCATGTTCAGGCAATGCCTTTACAAACTGTTTCATGAGGCCTAACTTTATATGTAGAGGTGGTAAGAGAATGTTTCTAGGATCTACAAGGTTTTTGCGGACAATGTTCTTCTCGCCGGGTTTTAAAGACTCCCTCACAAGCAAGTTCTTTCTGCACCAATGTTGATACCTTGCTCTACTGTCCCATTCACACAAAAAACATGGAAATTTGCTGACCTTGCTGACCAAGAAGCATGCATGTTACTTTCAAGTCACCCTATATCATACAACCATGACCCAAATAACCAATTTTTTTCAACAGAATGGCCAACAGGTATAGATACATAAGTGTTACTAATATGTAATAAAACAGTTTTTAAACTAGTTTTGGAAGAATTGATAAACAGCCTCCAGTCTTCTTTTTTGTATTCAACACCAAACTCTTTGATCAGACCTGTAATGTCTGAGCAGTACACTAAATCACCTTCTTGTTCAAAAAATTTCGAAAACTGCTGCTCTCTTCCTATTCACATATATGTTAGTTCCAACTGCCAACAAGTTCTTTTCTTTCAGTCTAGAACCAAGCAATTCAGCTTTTTCTTTTGTTAACGCAAGATCTTTAACTAAGTCGTTAAGCTCAATCTGAGTAAACCGTTTAGGCTCTATATTTGCCTTACGATGGCGGAAATTAGGTTAGGGTAGCTTATTATCTTCTTGTTTTTCGAGTTATGGCCAGTAATATCAATACTACAAAAGTAGCAATCATCAGTGTGGTTTCTAGGTTTCCTCCATATACCATAGGAACAGGTACTTAAAGACTTTTTTCTCCTTTTTTGACCATTTTCATATTCTAATAACAAACATAACATACCTTATGCGAGGCCCAAGATTTTTCCTGATAATAATTTCCCAGCTTTATTTTGTACATTCTCACAACGTATTTACAAAGTTTTCATCATTTCATAAACTATAACGATCAAAATAAGGCAGAAACTGACAACTGACGTAATGTAACGTCAAATTACGTTTCAAACTAACCTCACGCTAGTTTCAAATCATAGTTGATGAGACGTTTTCCTTTCAACGCTAGAACGAATGTATATGAATAACAGACGAATACGTTTTGAATACATCAGCGCTAGAAATCGCCTTGTATTTGTATTGATAACAGAAACAAAAACAACATAAACTTTTTTAGTAGATAGGTACATTCAAAAGAAAGTTATTTCTATTGGGAAACAGAAAAATGTATGTGTATTAATAATAATAATAATAATGATAATAACAAGCACCCACCGCCATCCGACCAGAGTTTTCAACTCATGGCTGGACGGAGAGCAGCCGAATCCGGACTGATTTGTCGGGAAGTGAACCGTTCTCATTCCTAAAAGCGATTTGTTGATTCCTAAGAATTACAGACCGATAACATGCTTGAATTCGTGTTATAAGTTGTTTACAAGCATCTCATGCACACGAATACTCACCACAATTGACCGAGTGTTTGAACGGATATATAAGCAGAGAGGGTCGAAGAGAGGAGTCGCTGGATGTAAAGAGAACCTGCTTATCGACAGATGTGTAAGGCAGGCCTCAATACAATATAAACGTAACCTCTCTATGGCCTGGATCGATTACCGTAAGGCATTTGATACAATATCGCATGATCATATCTTGAATTTGCTCAGATGCCTTGCGTTACCCGACAAAATAGTGAAATGCATTGAACAACTGATTTCACTTTGGCGAACTCGCTTCACCATAACATCCAGAGTACAAACAGGGTGGGTCACTTTCAGAAGGGGTGTATTTCAGGGCGATTCCTTCAGTGCCCTTCTCTTCTGCATCTCACTATTGCCATTATCCGTTGTGCTCAGAAATACTCGAGGGTATAACTGTCGCACCCCCGGAAACCGAGGCACAAGGTCACCCATTTGTTTTATATGGATGATCTTAAACTTTATGTCTCTGGAGAGAAGGATCTCCATCAGTCCTTGAGGATGCTGGAAGAGTACACGCATGCTGTTGGCATGAAATTCGGGATAGACAAATGTGCAATGGTCCATGTCAAAAGAGGACGATACGGAGATTACGGAGAGCATGTGCAATATTTGGATGCCGGAGAGGCGTATTCTCACCTCGGGGTGGAACAACGCCACTCACAAGAGGTAACGGCAGTGAAGAACTCTCTCCGCGGCAAGTATCAGCACAAACTTCGACAGATCTGGATATCGGAACTGTCGGGGAAAAACAAAGTTGATGCAACAAATATGTTTGCCGTTCTAATCTTACTCTACTCGTCCGTTCCACGGTTGTACTTCCCCCAACAACAGAGAGGCCGTGGACTTTTGAGTTTGGAGTGTCTACATGATAGAATGGTAATGAATATAGCCTGTAAAGTCGTCAGGAGTTCGGATCCCCTTCTCTGCATGTTCCGTGACCATGAGAGAGTAGGAATTGGAGCATTCCTCTTTTAGTTTTCGACACTGAACGAGGTGACCACAACTATGTTACCGAGTTGGAACCCGTTCAACAAAAAGCTCATATAAAAGCCACAGATATCACTTCTGCGCAAACACAAGGATAAGCCAATGCATGGGGGCTTCTTCAATAACATTGAAGCGCATCAAAGCGCCTGACTGTCGCTTTCCTCAGGTCGAGTGGGTTGAAGTCGGAAACTGGCGGTCTTGACCTATATCCATCGACATAACGCGGCCTTATTACCATCTACGACACTTACGGTATTGACGAAACACCGGTGTTGCCCTATGTTCCTGGGGATATTGAATTTTCAGCTCCTGGAGAGACGAATATCGGCCAAAAAGAGGAGGAAAAACGGATTAAATATCGAGATTTTCTCTTCCAACTTCGCAGACTCTATCCAGACCACTCTGTCAATGCCCTCTCTATTCTCGAATCTTAAAATCATACCGGCTTGCCACAACAAGGCAGAAATCTTAGCCAGACATATGCAGAAGGCTGTTATTCTTCGCTCATTGCGCTTGCTCAGAGCACATGATTCTCGGACATAATGATCACTTACCCCACGGTGTGGGGAGTGGTCGTTGGTTGATAATGCTGGCGTGTCTTCCC